TTAAATTAAATATTTAACAGCAATTCTAAGCCCATTATTGATGGGCACCTTACCGTAAACAACTCAATAACACAGCGTTCATACATTCTGTTCTTATTGGTTTGCAGTACCATGTTTGTATTTCATATGTAGCTGATAGCCATAGCCTTGACGATAAAGCGAAACCTTACTAGTACGGTATTATCTATCCCGTTTACCATAGCTCTGACAAAATCTAACGATGACGGCTAATACCATCAATATTTTAGCTATTTACTATTTTAGCTATTTTACTGAGTGCGTCAGTAGATATGGTTTCAAAATTAGATACTAAAATTTCTAGACTGACCTGGGGAATTTTTTTTTTTTTAAATTCAATTTTTTTTTTTTTTTTTTGTTTGTTGTTGTTGCTCTTGTTGTAATGGTTGAAATACGACACTGCACTTTCCCCAAGCATTTGCCATCGAGCGTATGGCTCTAACCCCAACCTGTTGCGGTATCGTCCGACCGCCGGCATGATTCAACCTACTCACCGTGACACTAAGCCCCGAGTTAACACCGCCCTGGTCCCGTTGCCAGCCCCGCTAGCCGTGCCACAGCTGTTGACGGCATAATCCCCTCCTGTACGCGTGAGCTGTTAATCGCATGCAACACTTCTGTCACCGTGCATCAGCTGGGTTATTTCCCACCCCCACCCGCTCCCTCACTACTCACCGCCCACACCCCCCACTCGGCGCGTGACCTTTAACATTGCCATCATCCGGGCTCAGACATCTCTACTCATTTTTTGGCTCATGCTTGGCTATGGGCGTTTATTTGTGTGTGAGAGTGTGTATATATATATATATATATATATATATATATATATATATATATATATATATATATATATATATATATATATATATATATATATATATAGTATTTTATAGTATTTTATAACTTCTGCGTTCTTAATTGCAATATTAGAATAACATCTTCTCCAACAAAACTATTAAATGTTAACAAGTTTTGCGCCATATAATTATAAGGCTAGTTGACTCCGACTTCAGCTTCATTTTGATCTGGATTTCCTTCCACAGCCTTAGTCCACCCAAGGGCATACGTTGATTAGTTTTCAAGGGTTCTCTACTAAATTGTTCTTTTGTCCTTTAAACTCAAGACATTTGTAGTCAGCAGCCATGAGCTCTGCTCCCCAACCACGCCTCCCGTGTACACACTTGCTTTCAAGCAAAGTCGGCTTTAGATATGGGTGTTATTTTCCCCATTGATCTACATTGTCGCCGTTCAATAAATATCATCAAAACCTAAGATCCCGACGGTGTTGGGCAAAACTGTAATGTTCTAATGGTTTAACTCAAATTTGAGTGTCCTGACCATTGAGTACTCACCCCCGGCGTCATTAAATTAATGACCTTAAGAGTATCGGCCAATCGTTAGATCTGAGATACTTTACACGTGAGGTGAAGCAGCAGTTAACGCCCACTTGTTTCTATACAGCTGCGAGACATTGCAGTGTCAGTTTGAGATTAATGGTCGTCTCCCTCTCCCAAGAGGTTGGTCACAAATCAGACTGGCGAGTTATCTTTCGTGGTGGGGTTGTTTTTCCTTTCTTTAGCCATCAGGCTCTGACCGATGGATATTAATTGTTGAATGGTAAAGACAGTGTGCGGCGATTAGTGGAGTGAGGTCACTGTGCTACCCACAGTACAGTACGGTCAGCGTGCTACCTAAACTACTTTAACTTAAGCTTTGCGTTCTACTTAAACCAGTATAGCTTGTTTTGCTACACACACTACAATAAGTATGTTTGATTCTACACACACCCCAATAAGGCTGGTTTGCTATTCGCACTACTTTAAGATGATTATGGTCAGCGAGCTGCCCCCACTAAATTACTGCCAAAGCGCTACTTACACTACAGTAAGGTCACTGTACTATTTACATTGCAATAAGTTTTTCGTGCTACCCACACCACTATAAGGCTAGCGAGCTACCCAAACAACTTTTCAGCCAGCGTACTACCCACACCACATAAGGCAAGCGTGCGACCTATTCTATCCCGTCTCAACCTTATAGAAAGGTCAAGAAGATGAACTTGGTTTACACACACCAGTAATTAGATGTATATTACAATCGATCGGCCCCCAATGTTACGTCACCTTGGTCTCTGTGTACGGGCTCTTTTGTTCGCTTTTATAGTATTCAGGATATATATATTTTTTTACTGCCATCTATTCAGTAATGCAATGCTATGCTATCTGGGCTGTGTATAGTGAAACGTAAGTGTGTAATTAGTCTAATGTTTAGTGTAGACTCTGTTTATTTATGTTTGGTGTGGTACTCAGAATTAGCTGCCTAATATAAATGGGTACCCTTTGCATAGTATTGCTAGAACGCGAACACATGTGTTGATGTATTTTGGATCTCGTAATTCTGTATAACCCATCTCGCTTAACCAAGGCTAAATGTAACTTTCAGTTAGCCAGATGTCCAAAGCTCGTGTGGTTAATTTATTTTCATCTAATCGTTGTAGGGTGTTGTTTACCATTTTGTTGTCATTTAATCCACGATCAAGTGCTTGAACGGGTTAATTCCATATCATCGCCGACTAAATGCTATAGCAATGTGATGCCGCGTCACCTATTAACCCCCTCAACCGTAAAAAAAATAGCTACATTTCTAGGATTTCTTTACATGGTAGTAAATCCTCTTCCATTAGCTATTTGTATTAGTTTCGTTTTCAGGCATTAAATTTGAAACTTCCGTGTATCAGATATACACCCATGGCTGTGTTATGTACGCCTCAGATGTTTTTTTCTAGAGCGAGCACTAGGTACCCACTTAGTATAAAATCCACCCAAGAGTCTTTCTATCCCCCTAATAAGCACGCCGTTGTCCTGCACTATAGCGTGTAGGCCTGATTAATTGTGGTCCATCGATTCTTGCACGGACCTGTTGCACAGGGTGTACTCACAACTCAACCGTTGGTGTAGTGTTGTGTTAATCGTGTGCGGGAGTGTTGTGTGGAACTTTTCATTGTTATTAATTGAAAGCCGTTTCCTGCATTGCTTGTCTTTAATTGGTGCTAGTTGGCTTCATACGGTAAGCTTTAGTGATATTCTTTCGACTCCTTGACTTAACTATTACATTGTTTATGTATATATATATATATATATATATATATATATAAATATAAATATATATATATATATATATAATGTGTGTGTGTATTTACCTATACATATATACATATACCATATACTTACGTATATATTATGGCTGCCCGAGTTGTAATATATCGAGAAATCAGTGGTTGTAAATTGTAAAGTTGGTCGTGCTAGTTAGCTTGAGACTAGCACATGTCTATATAGGCGAAGGTGCATAATTGATCAAGTGGACCCACTTGAACGTGTTCTTCACGCTCCACTGCCGCCGAAAACAGCATGCCTATACATTTTTTTCTATGATCTATTTTTAAATACATGATGGAAAAGGTTACTGATAATTGACAGTTGTATCCATAGGTTGTAGCGCGGCCGTTCACATCAGATAGGGTTCGTGTTTCGTTTTGTTCACACTGGATACAATGTGGTTTTCTTTTCCTAGATAGAACACACACAGCTTTCTGATAAACTACATCTTTTGTCTCATTGAATTCCACGCCGTATTCGGAACTGTAAACAATCTCTGTATTATTTATTAGTTTCTACAAGTCAAGACTTAAAATTTGGACAGTATAGTTCGAGGAAAAACACGTTTTCGTATTGTTTTTGTCTCTATGTATATTTGTATTTTCTATCTCGATAAACTACATATTTTGTCCCGTTGAATTCCACGCCGTATTCAGCACGGTTAACAACCTCTGCATTATTTAGACGTGAGTGCAAGTCAAGCCTCAAATTTGGATACTAGAGGTCACGTTTTCATGTACTTTTTACCTTCTATGTTTGTGTCTTTGATCTTGATAAGCGACTGCCTTTGTTCCATAGAATTCGATGCCAACTTTGGCTCTATTAAAACGCCATATTTACTTAGCTTGATTCCTTAAATGTCTTCGAACCGAACCGAAGGACGCAAGTTCAATGTTTTTTTTTCTTTTGGTATGTTTTGATATTTCAAAGTGATTAATTTCTTTATTTTTTCCTTCATGATTTCCAATCCTTGGGAGATAAATGAAAGCTTGAATATTTCATGACCCAACTGAAACTGTTTTAAATGTCACGCCGTTGCTTATCTCAGACCTCAGATTTAGCTTCGAGTTGGGTGCTAATTTACCCGGTATAGAATCCAACTCGGGTTCATCTGGCTCACCCACCCTCCTCCCCCCCCCCACTCCACACATTTGGGTAACCTTTTTTTTTTCCTTCTCTCAACCATCCCATCCTACTTTATATGTATACGTTTTGTTTCGCAGCTTACTTCGCCGATTTTTTTTTAAAGTAGATTTTTCTTCTGGGGAAAACCCAGCACCTTCCTTATTCTCGGTACATTCTCTTTGTCTGGGTTTATTTTTTTTAAAGTGAAATTGATTGCCTAGCGAGACTGTATTCCGTATATAGAACTAGTGATGCGGATTAATCTGCGGGGTAATGATATCTCATATTGTTCGCGTTTCGTATATTTGTAGATATTATTAAGTTGATGATGAATCTTTATTGTCACGTATTTGAACAGTTATGGAAAGCTATTTGTTTCGGCATGCGTGATTAGGTTATTATTATTCTCTTTTATTACGAGACCCATTTTCGCAAGGGTTAGACAGTACAATATTAGTGTGTGTGTGCTTTGTTTAGGATGGGTGGTTGCTGATGTAAAAATGGATGCCAATGATGGTATTAAATCTATATTTAACGTGTTAGTTTATTATCTTCTACTGTTTCCTATCTATAGAGCGATATAATATGTACACGATTTGATTTTTTTTTCTGTAAAATGTGTGTGTAGTTTTTATTGCCTCCTTTTTCTTGAGTGATTTGTATACCTTGTAAATAAACTGTCCGTCTCTTTTTTCTTCTCAGGTTGGGGAAAACCCGAAAGCAAATCATCCAATAACCGAAACTAAAAAAAAAATTGCGGTTGAAATCGATACTATAAATCGATACTACGTTGGGCTTGAAAAGGTGGAGTGCACAAACCAGTACACACAACAAGGTAAGAGAAAAAAACAAAATCTTCAGGTCAAGATTGGTGGGTGAGGGCGATGTAGAGTACGCTAGTTTTCTTCGCACTCTCTGTGGGGGTGGGATGGAGGGGGGAGGGGTTTTTCTAGGGCATGACGTCAGACATTCGTCTTTTCTTGAAATGGAGGTTGTGTACTTTAAACTTTAGAATATTAAGGAGTAAATCCTGGATTAGGTTGATCCGCATACCTCCCCTTCCCCCACCCGCCCTCTCTCAATCATCACGTCAAATATGTATAATTTTACGTGTCTCTGCGCTATTTTCTTTTAAATTTATTTTGTTGTAAAACGTGCCCACTCGGCGACTTTCATTTCTTATCAGCTACTCATTTATTGAGTAGTCTGTAGAAATTGTATGCCGTTTGCCGGAGGAAAGGTATACCGGCGGGACTAGACGGCCGCTAGACGATTGACCGAGCTACTGCATTAGTAATAAAATCACTGGAGAACTTTTACAATATGTGTAACATTAAGTAGTCCTGGTCTGATCGTGAATGTGTGTTTTACATATGTGTAACATTATGTCGCGCTGGTTTGATCGTGAATTAGTGAGGGTTTGGTGGACTTTTACATACGTGTAACATTAAGTCGTCCTGGTCTGATCGTGAGTGTTTGGTGGACTTTAACATTTGTGTAACATTCTGTCGTGCTGTTCTGGCGTGAATTTGTGAGTCTTTTACATATGAGTAACATTATGCCGTCCTGGTTTGATCGTGAATTTGTGAGTGTTTGGTAGACAGAAACATTACGCTGAGTTGACTTACACAAGGCTAAAATGTACTGGTTTAGTTGTAATTTTGAAATGCAGATTTGTTAGGGTTTTTCGTTTATTATATACGCCTTTTGTAGTAGCTACACGGTAAATGTGTATTTTATTTTTGGGAACGAGGTGTGCTTTGCGATATAATTAGCTGTAGAGTGTAATGTGTTCTTTATTCTGGAGTACAAATGTATTATTTGTTCACATGTTATACTGCGAAACCCGAAAGTCTAGAGTTCGAATCCGGGTTCAAGACAGTAGAACTTTCAATTACCACTACATACAAAGGGGATAGTGTGTTCAGTACTGTACCCAGCCGCCTTTGTTTCCATAACGTGAGCTATATATCCGTCAGAGCTGGGCAGACTCAGGCCTGGGATCCGAACTCATCCAGCAGTCGTAGGCTCTGCCATCCAACCTTCAGTTTAGAAATTCATTTTTTTTTTAAATTTAACAAATCTCCCTTTCCCCCTGTACCCATGCTGTTCGCTGTTCCTTCTGGCATAAGAACACCGTCTTCTAACATCCTGTCCTCGGTACCGTCGTAAAATTATCTACATAGAACAGTACAGTCATATAGAAATTCTGTTTCCCCTAGGTAGAAGTAGCAGTCCCAACCACTTGTAAGTTCCGTTACTCTGACACGCCCCGTGTCTACTTGTTTTTGGTACCTCTCCCGTCAACCACTTCCAGTATACGCTATTCTCAAGAGGGCCGAATACAAACTGCATTTTATTTATTTATTTATTTTTTTTCCTTCTACGCACATATGTATCCGCCCGTGAATAAATACGATAACATTGACATGCATTGTTAGCTTGGAATGAATTAAGACTTTTTTGTTTTCCTTATTGCTTCATTGAAAAGATTTTTTTTAAAAGTAATGTGGATAAAGATAAAAAAGCAAAACGAAAGCGGAATTATGTTCTAAAAATAGATTCCCCGTTGACACATCCTTGATTGATGCGGAAGATTTCCTGGTTTTCTAGATAGAAAGAAAATGAAAATGCGAACTGCACAATAAAAGGGGGATTTATGTACGCTTTATACAATTGCGTCCTGATTTTTCATTGGTCTATGCGAGAGATGTGAGTTCATTGAACGGTCGTGCCGGTGATTTCTCAAGCCAATAGGATCTTGTCCACTATCTTGTACAGGGCTCCGGTTCGTACCAAGACATCTGATCACTGTATTGTTCTAGTCACATCCGGGTTGTTTGATTGTTGTTTTTTTTAAATAACACTAGACCAAACATAGCACCATACTTGTCGTAATAGTAACCAAAACATACTGCCTTACACATAGCATTAACCTAAATATACCATTGCTCTAGTAACTCTAACATAGCACTACATTAACATTAACTTAAATTTTCCATGACACTATTCATACAATACCACAACCGCAACTCATTTCAAAACAACACTACCAAGAATATTATGACCAACGTTTCCCTTTCGTGACTTAATAGCCTGAAAGACCAAGTACAGCCTACCAAACAAACTCTTAATAAGACGCCGAGATGTCTCGTCTGCCACCAGTGGTCAGGACGACCTAGCTGGGGCGATGACCTGAGTGAACCCTCTCACGTGATACACCCACGTAATGCTCCCTCCCACGTGATACACCCACGTAATGCTCCCTCCCACGATTCCAGAAGCACGGTGTCCCTGTCTTATACAGACCCACCTACACGGAAGGCACTGATTGATAGTTGGTAAACGGCGTGTAGCAATGCTTGACGAGCATGTGCACTGACAGTGTGACGTGCATGCAGCTGACACTCGCCATGTCGTCATGAACTTATTTCATCATTAACTCATTTCATCATTAACTCATTTCATCATTAACTTGTCACCATACAGAGAATTTCAAATTAAAAGCAAAGAACCCCTCCCCCCCCCCCCTTAATACTCTTTATTTGTAGTAGTTCTCTCTACCCGAAGTAAACTGACCCAGCCTATAACAATTCCAGCTATCAGCCCTTTTCCAACACGACAAATAACTATTTATGTCCACTATACGATGGCCACTTCCATTAGGTATTTTTTATTTTTTTTATTGATAAGACGAAAAGAAGGACGAAGGAGTCAGCTCTTGTATAAAAGAGATAACCCGGTTTTCGAGGTGAGGCTCTGTCGGGGATTTTCCCAGCCGAGTTTCGTCATAGCGTAGGGCCGAGTACTCGGGTCGATTAGGTTTGCATGTTTGGAAAGAAAATAAATTAAGTGCTCTAGGAATTTCTCTCCATATTTCGAGTGCTGGCGTCTTGAGTTATATTTTTTATTAGAAAAACTTTTAGTCTTTGAGCGCAGGTTGTGTGAAATATTTTCAACACTCTATTATATTTAATATTCACGCGAACAGAGAATAGCCGTAAATAACTGTTTGCTTTTTTTTTTCTTTTTAATTAAAAAAAAAATAATGTGTAATGTGTGAATTGTGGATAAAGAAAGAAGAAAGTTAGCGACGTAATCGATTTCAGCGCTGCATAGTTGAAAGGTTACAGCAGGTTGATTTTACGCCGCGGCTACGCTGACGCCTGCTACTATGCAATGTACGAGGGCGGGTTCACTTGGTGTCTGCTGGTTTGTTTGGTTTGCCAGCTGATGTTGGCACAACTAGGTCTGTCTTACGCACACGAGCTGGGGGATTTTTTTTTCCACTTCTTCAAATCGAGATGTAGGTTGTGTGTTGCTTTTTTTTTTACTCTCAAGTATCGACTTTGGTGTGTTGTGTGTGTTTGGAGTGTGTCGTTTACACTTCAGCTAGACTTGTGTTTTAAAGGTTACACGTTCATCGTTTGGATGTGAGACACGCGATGTAGGTAGGTCTCTTACAAACTGTAGAGGATTATTTTTACTTGTCCTTGTCTAGCAGTTTAAAATTTAAACATACTTCTTCTTTCCCCGATCTGTTTTATTTTAATTTAGTTTTCATATAGGCCTACTTAAGTCAGTCGCTTTGAATTATGTTCCATTCGACTAACTGTATTTCTATTATTTTCATATTTACTTGATGAAATCACCATGGACTATTTTATAGTGCTTATAACGTATTATCTTTATTCTTCTTTATAAAAGGACCTAGGCCTATACATTAACTCATACGTAACTAATTTGAAAAAATCTCTCCGTGTTAATTGATTAGTACAACCGGCAGAGACGTGTAGACAAGTATAATTCATTAATTAGTAGTCTGGGTACAAAAAAGTCAAACTTAAAAAAAATATTATTTGTGCTTTGGTCTATATCGATTAACAGAGTTCAAAAACGTATGTTAAATATGAATATAATTTCATATATTGTAAGTGTTACACATTCACTTCAGACTTTTACTACAAAAAGTCTATTAATAGCCAGTCTATTTATTGTGATTAGTCATTTCCCTCGTAATACCGACATATGACCTCCGGTTCGACTCTGCTAAATGTGGGGGGTTCGTATAGTGTAGAAAGTAGGTCAATTTATATTTATCTGCATACGTTAGCTTTTTGCATAACTCTGGGCTAGTACAGGTGGTGTGTTGGCTTAGGTCACGTTCGGCTTACTTGTCTACCCTGGTTTTTTTGTGTCATGACCTATATGACGTTATGTTTATTTGTAGGTGTATTGTGGGGGAAGGTTGGCCCATATCTTGGTTAGCTAGACAGTCCATGTTGCGCGTGTAACCGTGTTTTGTTTCGAAGGCGGGGTTGTATTTTGTTTCTAGGTGTGTTTTGTAAATCATGGATCCATACGTTATTTTTTTAATAGATGCATTATGTGTGTGTATATGTAGGGTTTTATTTTGTAGATTATTTTGATAATTATAGGACAATGCATTTAGGCCAATTTTTTGTTGTTGTTTGTTTTGTATTAAATTTTCCACGCAACAATCTCTATTTGATTGTAGAAAGGCTGGTCATATATATATATATATATATATATATATATATATATATATATATATATATATATGCAACTCTTGAAACGCCTGGGTATACCTATTAAAAATGTATATATGTTAAAGTTGAAATCATAGACGTTAAACTTATAGTGTCTCTAGGGTCGGATATGAGTTCGTATCCGGGTTCAAATCAGTGGAACGTCCCTGAGTCCACCAAGCTCTGATGGGTACCTAACTTACGTTAGTGAAACAAAGGCGGCTGGGCATAGTGCTGACCACACTATCCCTTCACATGCCGAGGTCAATGAATCAGATGAACTTCA